GCTTAAATTGGGGGGGGGGCTGGACAGCGGCCCATTTTGACAACCGTTTACCTCACACGGTTTTCGACAAGGCAACATCGCTTTTCTTTTTTTCCGGAACATCTCCCACGACAGACAGACAGACGTACGTAAAGGAACGCGCTGCCAATAACTTATCCTGTTTTCACGTTGAAGCGCTATTCTTAATGCCCGTCAGCAATCGGCTGGGATTCTTCGAACAAAGAAACAAAAGTCAAAAACAGTGGACAGTCGTTCATGGAGGTTTCGCTCTTACGGAGTCTCACGAGAAAGTCAAAGAGGAAAATCTCGATCAAGGTGACCGTCTCCGACTTCAGATTTGATATTTCTTCTTGCTTACGCAAATTCACGCTCAGCAACGAGGAAGGGGATTCAGAACAAACAGCAAGAATTGCTCGATCCACAGAAGTGAACAGACTGAGACAAACGAAGGTTTTAGTAACGTGCGTTTACGTAATTTGTGATCAAGCCTCCTTGCCAAGTTTCCGGATTTCTTTAACCAAACAAGTCGCTGTGACTGACGGCATCAGTTTCAAGTTGAACAATAATTTATATCACGGCGAGACAGACGCATTTTTACTATAAACGAGGCCTTCTCAAAAGTATTTTGCAAAATCATTCCAAACTGAAAGTGCACGAATACAATCGCACAGCCACAGTGCGTTGGACCTAGCGAGGGCTGTCAGATCAGCCACGCATGAAGAACGTACCACCGCTGCGCTCTCTGGAGACCGACAGACTAACTCCCTGGTCGCAGAACGCGCAGGTCCACCGAAGCCCGCCACCGGCCACGATCCTGCGCCGACTTTGTCCATTTGCCATCCTCACAGCCCACCTCCCTCCGATCCATCTTAATATAATTCTCCCATCGCCTTCCTGGTCAGCCCAGTGGTCTTCTTCCAGAAGGATTCCCTACCAAAATTCCGTATGCACCCCATGCGTGTCTGGAGACCGACAGTGTTGTTAATTCGCAGTAGAAACTGGAGATGGCGTGTTATTTATTGATAAAAGGATTTCCCTGTCGCGGGGCCCCAAGTTAATGTGCCTTTCCTTACCTATTATGAGCCTTGACGTGGCATTCCGTTCCATTGACTGTCACCGCCTGCTTATGTGGGGTCGTCCCGACTTGTTTCTTTGTCATGCGATGGCAAAGGTCAATAAGCTTTGCCCCAGAGGTGGAACAATCGAGTTTGAATTTCTTAGTTATTTTCTTGAAGTGGTCCATGAATAACAAGCACTGGTAAAAGAGTTTGGAGACTTTGTTTTCATTATCTGGGTTAAGCATGGCTAACCCCAAGTCGGTTGGCGAATCGCGGCCCAGTCGCAGGAAACTGAGGAACTCGTCCAGCAAACTGCCGGCGTAGAAGCACGCCAGATGTCCAGAGACGGAGTAGGGGCTGTAAATGTGTCTCCAGGTGACGGATCTCAACGCGCGGTACTGCAAACAAACAGGGAAACTGTCAGACGGGCTGTCAACTTACCTAACGATGTCTCTCGTTTCCTTCAGTTCACAAATATGAAATTCTGATAACGTTATTCAAGTTATGAGCGGCCGTTTACGAACTCTGTAGTTGGTATGTCGTCGGTTAAATCACTGACGAATAAACAGTCGATTTTGCTTCTCATGCCATTTGTAGCCAACTATTCTTTACAAGAGAAGTAACTGTTTCTAACTATTGTCCGCGAGCCACGAGAGTAGACCTGACATCTTTGAGGGAGGTGGGGTAGAATTCTGTGCTACTAGCGGACAGAAAAACACCTGCAGCTTAAACAGGCCGTACGTCGTGAGCTAATGTACTAACTCACTGATAGCATAATGTTCTTAGGTAAGGAATACATCACCAGCGCATGCGCAGAACCCACTTTCCCTCCTTCCACACAAGCAACGGCTGACAAGGCCACGTCTACTCTCGTACCTCGCGGACAACAGCTAACAAGGGAATGGTTAGGTTGGTCATACCGAAACCTCGCCTGAAATTTTGCTCATCTACAGAGCCCATCTAGTAATGATTGTCCACAAAATTTCAGCTGCTGATGCGCTGTGCAAGGGTGCGAAAAAATTGCTCAAAGTTGGTTTGTATATATTTAAAATTCGCGCCACCACGCATGCGCGTGACAACAGCGCGGCATTCACCGGTACATTACAACGGAGGGCGTGGGACGGACGCTGAGAGGATAGAGGAGGTGTTTTAGTGACATTGTGATTACCAGATCTTTCAATGCAATGTGGAAGGCTGTCAACGTTTTGCGACTTGCAATGCAGGTCTATGAAGGACGCAATATTACAGACAAACTGAATATTTGTTTCAAACATTCCATTGATGCTTCACATTTCTGTCACAATTATAGTGCATAATTTTGTACATTATTTTTTTGTACTCATTCTGCGAGCTAATATAAAATATACTGGAGAAATACCCGTCAAAAGTAGCAACAACAATAATCTTTTGCAACCCATTCCCATTCATTGCACATTACACCCCAGACTCAGTGAAATTTTATAAAGTTAATTCCATTAATTTTCCCTTCCCCGTCGCAAAAAGAAAATCCCGTTTCTGTTAACAAAGATTGAACTCAATTGCAAGCGCAGTGCTGGTGGAGTTAAAACTGTATCTGCAATTTCGTAGTTCTGTGGAGGGTTCAAAGAAAGAATAACGAAACACCTTCATTGCATTTCAACGACGGGTTCATGTCTCTTAATCCCTGAACCATAGGCTAATCCTCCAGACAGAAGACATTCATCAGTCAATAATTCGAAACAACAAAATATGTAACTGTAAACGTTTCTCTGAAAAGTATTGAAGCTTAATTTCTTACAACAAAAGGGGTGTCCAAAATATAGGGTATTGTGGACATGTAAAATTATAGGATATTCGCCGGTTCCAATTAAAAGTGTCCAATATATATAGGGATGTCCAACTTGAGAGGTTTTGCTGTATATTAGTACATGTACAAGTAGCCGTTGGTGAGTGAACAGTCTTTTGTTTCGGTGCATTGTTTCCACAAAGCAGCATATAAAATACCTGCGTATTATATACATACTAGAGCAAAGCGCTCCTTTCAGAGCTTCTCATGGAAGTTGGGCAATTTTTTAAAACGCAGCCAACCGCCCCCCCCCCCCCGCTGCGTTTTAAAATCTTGAGTAAAACACTAACCTAACCACCCCTTCGGGGGGTTAGTTTAGTGTCTCATTCAAGTGTTTTAACCCTTGAGTAAAAAATTAAACCAACCCCCCCTTTCGGAGGGGTTGTTTGAGTAGTATGACTTCAATGATTATTATTATTATTAGTATCAGTTTAAACTTGTTGGTGTTGGTAACGTCTTCCTTCAACTTTCTTCATTACTTCTGGAGCAGTGATCATGCGACTGGCTTGGTAGTGAAGCGTTATTTGTTTACTCGGCATTATTGTGTTCCACAACAATGCCGAGTAAACAAATATAAGGTGACGTTGTTGATGACGTCATTTTTTTTTGATAGACAAATCACCAATTTTTGTAGTAGATACGTACATGTAGATGGTTCCTGTGTACTTATTCAATAAACTACGCGCGCTTGTGTGTGTGAGAGAGAGAGACTTTCCTCAAGTCTTTCGCTGCCCTCTCACCAGCGCCTGGCCCACGCCCTCCGCTGCAATGTACCCGTGAATGGCGCGCTGCTGTCACGCGCATGCGCGGCGGAGCGAATTTTAAATATACGTACCAACTTTGAGCAATTTTTTCGCAGCCTTGCACAGCGCATCAGTAGCTGAAATTTTGTGTACAATCATTACTAGATGGGCTTTGTAGATGAGCAAAATTTCAGGTGAGGTTTCGGCATGACCAACCTAACCATTCCCTTGTAAGTAACTAACTAGATGGCTAACGGAACCCGAAGGTTCATCACCGAACAAACCAAATCCCTCCACCGGACCCTGTCCTGGGCCAACGACATCCAGTCTCCTTCAACTCCTATCTCCCATAGATCCCGCCTGACATTATCCTCCCATCTACGTCTAGGTCTCCCCAGAGGTTTCTTCTCCTCAGGCTTCCCAACCAGTACCCGGTGCACACCTCTTGTCCCATCCATGCGCGCTACATGTCCCGCCCATCTCATTCTTCTCGACTTAATCACCCTCACAATACTGGGGAAATACATATTTTTAAGCTCATCATTATGCAGTTTTCTCCATGCCCCATCATCTTCTCTCTTAGGCCCAAATATCCTCCTCAACCGCCGATTCTCAAACACCTGCAATCTGTGTTCTTCCCTCTGAGTGAGAGACCATGTTTCGCACCCATACAAAACAACAGGCAAGATTATTGTTTTGCATACTTTAATTTTCAGGTTCTTAGAAATCAGACGGGAAGCCAAAATATTCTGAACTGAGAAGTAGCAAGCATTTCCGGAATTTAATCTCCTCCTAACTTCCTCTTGAATATCATTTTGATTTGTTATTGATTTTTCACTGTTCCGTAAAGACGCGTACATAGTACGAGTATCACAACTGTAACATAATTGTCGATCAGTTTCTGAGGTCGCTGACAATTTACTCTGGTCGATTAAACGCACGAAGTCGCGTCCATTGCTGTCGTAAACCACTTTCACCCTTAGCTTCGTGTTGTTGATGTGACGAGCAGTCCTCGGCCTTGAGCAGTTTTCAGGAACGCGTCTGAATCTGCCCCGTCTCAGCCCGCGTCAAACAGCAGGAGTCACGCGCTTGTTTTAGAAGCAGAAATGTTAAACCCTCGTCAATACTAAAAAGGGTCTGTTCGTGACACAGCGCCCTTCAATTTCCTACGAGTTGTTGTAAAGATTCGGTCCTTCAACGCTCTCTTACCTGACACTTCATCATCATCAGTGCAATGTAATGTTGATCCGTTAGCAGTTGTTGTTCAGTTGGTCGACCTCGTCCTATACGAGGCAAGACATTCACCGTAGCTGAAGTGAAAGGAAAAGTCGATACCAGAAGTTCTCCCAATGTTCGACCTTCTTCAAAATCAGACACGGCTTCCACCATAGCTCGATCTATCTTAGGCCCCAAGGTCGAGAACCCGCAATTGAGAACTAAGGCGGCGGCGTCACGAAATCGTCTGCACATGGGCCTCACTTGTCTAGCCAAGAAATCGTAAGAGCAGTTTTCGAAAATGAGAGCCAGCACCTCTGGCGGCAAGTCCGTGATGTGCAGTCCAGAGGGTTCCTGTTCCTGTTCACTGCAGGCTTCAACTTTACCAGCTCCTTCGTTGTCACGTTCAATTTTTGACTTGATACGACGAATAAACTTTTTCATCCCGACGAAGATTTTATGATAAAATTATTCCTATGGTTAAATTATATTATCTGAGTAAAATATTTACGATTCACGATTAAGCGCTTGTTCACCTTTCTCGCCACACAAGACGTCAACTGGCCGTTACTAAGAGACAGTCGACAATGAGACAAACAGTCAACGTAGTACAACAATGCACTGATGTCATGTCTCGCAGTTTACTCTTCCAATAATCAGTTTGCTCACCAAGTTACGTATTGTCGTAGGGGTATAACGATCCTGTACCAACTGCATCAGTTACTTAACATCGTATAATATGAGAACATTATCTCTTTCGGTAAAATTGAAAGGCTTCGACTTAAATCGTTCCTTCGTTGACTGTTTCAAGGCGGGCTACGTACTGCCAGGTAGACCCTATATGAAACCCGTCGTTTAGAGTAGGCGACAGGTTTAAATCGGCCACGTCCAGAAGCATTGCCGAATTTAAAATCCAGCGGTCTGTGTGTCAGCACCGACTTCAAAACGAAAATTTGCAGAAGACGATTAAAGTTTCCTTCGAGCGAAGTCGTGGAATCTGGAGCAGGGTTTTCCTGTCTGAGTCCTAACTTCAGCTGCAAATCGAGTTTGCATGCGAAGATGCAAATGCATGGCTTCCATTTGTATTTTGATGTAGTGTCTTTTTAGGCATTGAAACTGTGTCCGAACATATCAACTGCATGGCTTTTATAAGCGACGTGAACAGATGGGTTTTAGTTCGACTTCCTGAAAAACGCGACTCTCTCAATTCCTTTCTGTTTCAGGGGTGTACAATAGCCATTTCTCGCACCGATGCATTTTCACTGCTTAACACGCGAGTGATACCAGAACATTCCAGAAATCCGAATAAATCCAAGGCCACGCCATTAATTCTTGAAAGGAACTTTGAATTGTATTGATTCGTAATTCAAGAAGAGAGAGTCTCTGTTACATGTAGTTTGCACGTGTTAACAAACATACTCTGTCCATTTCTCATGAGAAACTGTACATTCAGAGTGGAGAATAAGAGTCCATCCCCACCCATCGATCACAAACTAAACCAAATTTTATAAAATATTAAAGTTAATAAGTAAAGATGTAAAAGAAATGGTAAAAATTCAAAGAGAAATATTGACAGTGGAACCACGGTTCCGGAGAATCTGGCGTAAATACGTCTACACGGAAAGGAAGTTTATATATTGGCTTTAATTACAACAATGCCGAGTAAACAGATAACGTTTCCTAGGTAACATAACAATGCACGCAAGCTGACCATTGTCGGTCCATATTTACACATTGTTGATATGGATCTTACATATCTTCCTAACGCTGTTTTTGCCGAATGACCCTTCCATATAGACGTAATTACGTCAATAAATGAAAACACATTTTTAGAATATTACAAAAAATTATGGAAAACAACAATGAACCATGAGGAAGATACACGGGATTCAGATGATCACAGTGACATCATAACACTAGAAGAACTAAACACAGCATTAAGGCTAATGAAAAATGGTAAAAGCTCTGGCGAAGATCGTATTAATTCAGAACTTTACAAATATTCACCAAGTGAATTTAAATTACGAACGCCGAACTATTTGAATCAAGTATATAAAGGAAAAAATATTCCAGAAGAATGTAAAAATGCAATAGTAATACTAATATACAAGAAAGAAGACAGAAGAGACCCACAGAATTACAGAGGAATAAGAATTCTGAACACATGCTATAAAATATATTCAAAAATCCTTAACATAAAACTTCAAGCTCATTCAGAGAATTTTATGACAGAAACACAAAATGGATTCGGGGAAGCCCGCTCATGTACAGACCCTACATTATGCCTTAAATTGCTGACAGAAAAGAGAGGATAATACAATTTAAACACATATTTATTATGAAAAGGCCTTTGACTGCATACAAAGAGGACAACTATTCAGAATAATGAAAAAGAGAGCGATTCCAGATCACTTAATAAAATTAATAATGGATATCTACATGAAAATACAATTCCAAATTACCGAGTCCAGCAGAGATTAACAGAGGAGTGCGCCAACGTTCTTCAACATTTACGTGAATGAAATAACAACAAAGTGGCAAAACGAAGAAATATCAGGTATTCCACTATCTAGAAACATAGAACTTCATACTTTATTATTTTCAGATGACGAGGTGATAGTGTCAGATACAGAGGATAATTTACAGAAAGCTACATTTCGATTAAATAAAGTTATAACAGAATTATTTATTTAGTGTTCTGTCTGACGACAGGTCCATATGAACAGGATCCTTCGATCCTTTTCTCGGACTGGGACCTGTTCATATACGTTCTTGGCAGATGATCCAGAAGGGGTTTGCCATTGCCTTCTTCTGTGTGTGAATGGAGTAATTGGTGGGATGCCACGGAGGAAAACTCCGGGCTGCCTAGACCACGGCCTTGCCCACCACAAGTTATAAATTCGGCCACCGCCGGGAATCGAACCCGAGACCCCAGGATTACAAGGCCAGCATTCTAACCGCTAGACCACCGTGGCGTAACTTTTAAAGAAAGCCAGATTAAAATTATACAACGCACTAACTCTCCCTACTCTTTTATACGGTAGTGAAAATTGGACGATCAGAGCAGCAGAAATGAAATACACGAGGAAGACAGCAGGATTACAAAACTAATACAGAATAATGTAGAGGAGTTGAAAATAGTTCCAGTGTTAGAAAAAATAGAAAATTATAAAACAAAATGGTTTGAACATGTAGACAGAATGGCAAGAAGCAGGCTAATCAAAATTATAAGAAATTATGTACCAAAGGGAAGAAGAAGAGGTTTTTGGAAAAGTGAAGCCGGAACAGGCCACAAATGGCCTAACTCCACGAAAGCTACATCATGATGATGATGATGATGACAAAAATTGGTGTCTAGTATCGGTCACTAAAGTACTTACAATGTTTTCCTCAGTTTTGATAGAAAATTTCAGTCTTTATGAACCCTAACGTCTTTTGCAGGAATCACATTTGTAATATGGAATATTTCCCTCAGTATCGGCGCAGTCTTCATGCGCCCAAACCACCACAAGGAAGAGAATGTAACCAGTCCTAGTCAAAACTTTCTGACCAAACGATGCTCGCTGTTGTAGGTCTTTTATTTGGCTGACTAGCTCTTCCTCCAACTCATCGGTGAAATTTCTCCGAAACCAAACAATGTTGAGTGTCACTTTCACCATTCCCCTTTCTTGCAATGTTGTTAGTCTGTCTCGAAGAGAGATTTTAGGGACTGAAAAATTATCTGCTCCTTCCCTTACTGAAATCTTCTTATTCCTAACCTTATCTATAGCAAGTTTTATTTGAACTCCTGTCCATTGTTCCCGTTCCTTCTTTGCACTGGGCTCACTGTTGTTCATTCTAATAGCAAATCTAATTTTAATGTTAAAACTTTGCATACCGTGTAGTGTATTAGAATATAAAATAAGCAAAGAAACAAAACTATTAAACAATATAAAAAAGACACTAGTGCCATACGCGTTTCAATCTCAAGAGGTCATCATCATTCATTTAATCAAAATTGTTTAATATAAGATCTTCCATAATATTTAAAGACCACACAATTTTACATATCATTCAATATGTAACACAGGTGACCACATTTTATGACTCATCAGTCAATAATAAACAAGCAATCTCATATTTTATAGCCAGAACTGGATGATAACACCTTTAAGTTCCTCAAATACTGCAATGTCAAATTTCACACTTATGATGAAGCCTTACTTACCTCGCTTAGTGCATCAATGGCTTTAAGATGGAATTGAAAGTCTGAATCGAACATATTTGCCAATAGTGTCCGATTTACATTTGTATCTGTCATTTGATCTTTCAGTAAATCCACAAATTCTTCTCTTGGAGTTGTGAATTTCCACTTTAAAACCTGAAAAAATGCCATATGGCAGAATGTAAATTTATAATTTGTGATCTTTCATTTTATACCAGCAAATTTGTGAACAGCATTATAAAAATACCTTCCGTTTTTGCTGGTTTTTTACGTTGTTGCTCTGAAGAAGAGGTGATGTATCATCATCAAGGCCAGCAGACGCTCTTGCGTTGTCAAGGGCTGTGATCACATTGCGAGATCCAGGCTGTTAAATTACTGACTTAGATTTGGCTGTAAAAGAAGTTTTATAGGGACAAATCCGATTTGGAGAAGTATTGATTTTTTAAGAATGCCTCTCTTTTGTTCCCCGAGTTCTGGGTAATGATTCGAAGCTGGGAGGGGGAAAAGGGCACGCGATTCAAAATGACAGAACACCGAAGACCATGAGGGAGCGCTGAAAATTAAGAGGGAGAAATATGACAAAGGGGAATAATGAAATTGTTTAGGGAGCTTACTACAAATCAAAATGGGGCGAAATTATTTTCAAACGTTCTTATTTCTCCTCTTCAAAACACTGTCGTAATTCTTTATGCAATGAAATGTGATTAAATACTTTTAATCTTGATGAAAGAAATTAATCAACTTTAAAGCATCCCTGGAGAAAGAAACTATTCGAAAGAAGTTGGAAAGTGTTTAAATATACTAATCTGGTGGCGAAATGACTCTTTTATAGTTCATCTACGTCACACAGCATGGCTTTAAAATATGATATAGAATTAATTAGAGTGTTTGAATCATGGGTAAACCATTCGAATTAAATTTGAGTAAGGGGATTCTTCCCTACGTGCGCAAGCCATCTATCTTCCACATTTTTTACGACCCAAACTGTGCCCTTAGTTCTCACACTCCCCTCACTGCTACATGCACTGCCGTCAAAGACTTCAACACACTCATCGTCAGCAGCCTTCAATACCCCAGTCCATGGCACCATTTGTAGGGTCTCCCCAGACACCATTTGGTTGGTAACTCACAGTTGGATATGGGATTTCTTAACTGAGCATCTGAGGAAAATTATTTCTTTTGGTTTATCTCCAATTTTTTGTAAATTCCATGAATGTTGTGTGTAAACCCTACTCAGTGATAATTATATGTACCATCTAACTTAATAATCAGTAACTCTTCATTTCGCATTTGTATGCTTCGTATGTTTCTCAGAATAAACAGCGATTATTTCCTTAAACAGCGTCAACCAGTTGATCTTCGCTTCGGTCAAGTGTGGTGTTTTCTTCGCGGTACGGGCTGAATCCTTCAATATTATTTAGAAGAGCTTCGAATTCAATAGGTCAGTTCGTCCATTTAGTTTAAAATCTCTGGCTCATTTCGTGAGATTCATTGCTTCTGCTGCGTCCCTGCCCAGCACCCAGAACTGCCTTCTTCATTTCGCATTTCGCCTCTCCCCTGCCTATCATTTTAGAAGGTCCTTACATTCCTCTAACGCTCAGTTGGCATGATGACCCGCGAAGCAGGTAATTCTGCTTCGATAGGTTACAACAGCGTTTCTCAACCTTTTTACCCCTGCGGAACCCTTGAAATAATATTCATGTCTCATAAAAATTATTATCATGATTAATATCTTTCTGTCTCTTTTGTAAACTTAAAGTTCATAATGAAAACATAATATATTTTTTTCTGATAGTTGGTTTAAGCAAAAAATAAACTTACGTTTTTCTCACGTTTATTGACAATACAAAAAAAAAGATGAAATCAAACTGCCTGCTCAAGAGACCTCATACGGAGGTTTTCATACACTAGTAATTGAAACATCTCAAGATTCCCTTTTGCAACATGATTTTTCCAAAGATTCAGTCTTCTTTTAAATCCAAGAATCTTGTCACTTTAAGTCAATATATTTTCTCCAGGGCATTGCAGTGAGTTGTTCAGCTGATTCAAGTAATTAAAATTGTCTGCTAAGTAGGCTAGCCTCTGCAACCATTTTTCATCTTCAATGAACTCGGCAAAATCTTGCTTATTGTTTTCTTGAAAGTATTCCTGCAATTTATCTTTTAGCTCAAACAACCTATATATAACTCTTAATCTACTCAGAAACCGGATTTCTGTACTTAGGAAGAAATTTATGGGCTCTTTGTCCAGGTTTTCACACAGTTTTTTAAACATTATGGAGTGAACTGGGCTTTGTTTAATAAAGTTAACCATTTTTGTAGCATCATCAAAAACTTTTTTCAATTCATCTCCAAGAGATATTGAAATCAGCACCTCTCTGTGAAGAAAGCAGTGTGTTGAGAAAACATCAGCATTTTCTTGTTTTACGTGAGAAATAAAACCTCTTATGGAGTCAAGCATGGATGGGGCACCATCAGTACAGATGCCAACACAATTCTTCCAGGAGAGACCTTTTCTTTCCAGATATGAGGAAAAAATATTGAATATATCTATTCCTTTGCTTGTCTCAGACAACATGGGTTCAGGCCGGGATATTCATCTGAAAGTCAAGTAATCACGGTTTGCCAGGACATTTATATAATCTATTTTTCGAAGGCCTTCGATTTAGTTCCTCACGATCGGCTGCTTACGAAAATTGCGGCCTCGGGCATGGACTCGAGGGTAGTCGCATGGATAAGGGAATTCCTTTTAGGCCGAACGCAGAGAGTTAGAGTAGGAGAGCAATTATCAAAGGAAGTCAGAATAACGTCAGGTGTACCGCAAGGGAGTATATTGGGTCCATGACAATTAAACAAATGTCTTCATTATGTGTAAAGTCCAACAGTGAACCTGAACCTGAATTAGCTCAATGCAATTTACATTACCAATACCAATTTATTAAGTCATCTTTTACCACTGCACGGCACTTCCTCTGGTTGCAGGAGGAGAAGGCATCCAGAAATGGAGGACAGCTGAAAATCAAGTGGGATGCTAACAACTCCTCGCCATAAGAGGACTAACATATTTATATGGATCTAATTTTTTAACTAGCTGAGCGTGCTGTCAGCCTCTCAAAGATTATAATCAGTTTAAGTAGCCATGGGATCTGTGGACGTAAAACACATATGTGAAGTGAATCTTTCTTTCATCTACTGCAAACACAGGGAAAATGTTCTGTGCCTTCAAATTTAATGGCACACAGTGCCCCACACCCTGTTAAATTCTCGTGGGATGCTCTTCTTTCAAGTGCTTAGTACGTAGATACAGTGCTGCCACTGTATATTTGGTGCATTAACACACTAAGAGCCTTTCTAATAACACTGCAACAAGGCTGCCCCGTTCAAATATCAAGGTCCGGAATGAGGCATGGGATGAAGGAAACAAGAAAGAAACACTGAAACATTTTGGTTTATTAATGAATTTTTGCCATGTGAATGGCTAATAATTCATGCACTTATGTTTGTTTCTAATTTGGGCTATATATAACTAACTCCATGGAACAGTCTCCTTCCTGAGAAACTAATATAAGCTCCTAATTCAGCCGCTGGAACCTATCCTTAGAAAATAAATTCACCCCCACCCCCCCGGTAATGACCTTTCAAAATGTGAAGATGCCAGTTCCAATGAAACAGCAGACATTCATACACGCAAATACCAGCTGAGGTGCAAGGCCAACCACAGCATTATTAAGTTTTATAACCCTCAGCCTCCAACACTTGGTGCTGCAAATAAACTCTGTTGCTTTGCACCACATAATACAACATAAGACAAAGCACCTTCCCTCACCTCACTCTCGTTGCCACACGTACTGGCTGGCGACAGAAAGGAAAGATCGTTCTCTGCAAAATGTTCTTCAGGGGCAGTGAGGTCCTCACACTCAAGATCCTGTGCACATGGCATCACTAACTGTTTACTGGACATGCCATCCCAGTTTATGCCCTGAGGATGAAGCACAAACATTAGAAGCACGTACTAGAATATTGATTGAAGAGTAAACTGTGATAAAGCAGAAGAGAGAGCACCTCAATTTAAAAGACTCTTCAGTCGTGCAGAAAATACAAAGATCTTGAAATATATGCTTGAGTTTGGCTACAAATTTTGTTCCGTACTTTAATTTATTTAAAAATAGTGGACTTATTGGGAGAGTCAAGGTTTGAAGTAAGTTGTTGGCAATTTTATGGAATGTACTAAGAGGGTGTTAGTAAACCTTTTACTGTGATGTTGCCTTCCACTCAGTCCTAGGCATGTGGCATCTGTTACACGCAAGTTGTTCTGCTCGGGATGTGCATCAGAAAATTTTGCTAACTCAAGATTCTTTAAGAATCAAATTGTCTAGAAACAGAATCAATAATCCCAAACAGTGTGGACCTTCCCACTGTAGTTGATTTTCTTAGGCACAGTTTAGAACTGATATTACGATATGATAACAGATAGGATAAAAGAACTCATGTCAAAAAATGGATATTCCTTGATTTCGTGAGCTCCATGTTTCCCCCCCACCTAAGCGAATTCTGCAACATTCTTCTCATAAAACCAACTTCAATGTCCATGAACGACAACGGAATGTCTGGTAGGTGATGAAATATTTTGCTGCAAGAGAAAGTTTCATTCTTGTATTTGCCATTAAAAAATGTACTTGATAAACTTGCATTCACAATTAATGTCTATAATGCTTCTCAAAGTTGCCATAAGTGGCGTGGTCAATGTCTGATTTGCATGGACATCTCTGACATAGGTCATGCAAGAGATAAGGAGGATGGTCAATGTTAAACGTTGTATGCCTTCAGCTTTTGGAACCCTTCTCTGTTCCTTACATTCAGTTGCTGTCTAGCGCAAACTTAATTGTTAAAGATTATAATCATGGTTGAATCTGTGTTTTGTTTCTCTGCCTAAGGTTAATTCTCCAAAGGTATCAAGCACGTACACCAAATTTATTCCCGTTAAAACAGACAGTCATCTGTTAACCGTGAACTAATTTCAACAGAAATGTGTTCAAAAGAAAATGATGTTCACACCAAACACATACATCAGATCTCTTCCCGAATGCAAAATTCTTACCTACAAAGTTCTTCTTCGTTTCTATGTTCGTTATATGGAAAGGGCTTGTGACCGATCATCATTTCAAATGCCATTACGCCAACACTCCACCAGTACGCTTCCTACAACGATTAAAATTACGGATAAGAACCGCAATCTGACACTTTCATTTCATCGCGCACTTGTACATTTTCCACAAGGCTCTACACAACTAGAAAGTTTGTGGTTAGAACGAACTAATTGTTCGTTTCTTGCCTCCAGGTTAATATGGATCATTCCTATGTTTGATGATGCTTTTTCTTCTTTTATCTATTTCAATAGCTTTCTGTCTGATGCTAAGCCAGCCAGAGATTGTGGTGAATTTTCTTATGGTTTTCTTCGAGTGCTCAGTCAGAACCTTGAAAAAAAACTTTACTAAACACCATTTACAATTGACATTATACAGTTATACTAACATTTATTTCACACAAATGATATTAGAAGGCAAGTGAGGAAAATTATCAAATGCCATTAAAGCCCATTCAGCGATTATCGAAATGGTACACAGGTGGACAGACAAACACGACAAAGCAAACACGAGCATTTTTATACTTTTCTGTGGTGAAAGCAACAACAAATGTTCTACGTTTGTTTCACATCTTCCCAACTGCTGTGGCTCCATCAATACCATTTACTGCAACAAGTTTTCGCGAATATTTACGTTTATTTCAGTTCAAGAATCGCTTATACACAGAGTGTGCACATGAAATGTATGCCACTTCAAAACTTGTGAACTGTGATGCAAAGGAATTTGAACTAAATTAATTTTAGAAGGTTATATGATCAAGTTTATAACTCGTGCTGCTTTAGTTTCCATATCTTTCCACATGACGCACTACACTCACAGCTGTTAAAATGGCATCTTAAGCACAGGAATTCCTCACGCCTGTTTTGAAGAAGAGTGTCCTATTGAAAGGCTGTTGGAACAAGACAGAATGCCTCCACATTTTCACAAGGAACTGATAGACTCTTAAATCACAAGTTTTAAGAGAATTTTATTGGCAAGGATGGGCCTATGGCTTGACCACGCTGTATGCATGGCCTTCCTCCCCTTAAAGCATTCTTTTGGGGGTACATGAGGATGCTATCCATGTGCTAACAGTGGATTCCACTTTGCCAGTCACCCTCGACTTCCTTATAGAGTGAACTGAAAGTAAAAATAATTATGTTATCTGCCAGGCCATTCACAGCGCCCTCATTGGACATCTGAAATCTGGGTCATGAACACTTGATCACATAAACTACTCAAATCCATTCAGTTCTAATTCCCATGCCTTTTAGTTGGTGAGCGTGGTAAGGGATACGAAGTATTGCCATGGCCTTGAAGCATGAAGTTTGGTGATAGCTACTTAATTTTTCTTTCTGACTTTGGGTGTAATGCGCCACAAGTAGACACTTAAAGCTACTTGCATGCTGAGTCACATAAGAAACAAAATCTGAGCAACACTTATTTCGAATTTTACTACCTGGCTAGTACTTCGCTTTCAAATTCTGTTACATGACAAAAACGCATGTCATCATGCCAGATGCAAGGCAGCTGACTGCGCCACATTCACTCGAATGTTTGGCCTCCTCTCGTGTATACCGACTAGTTTATGCATGTGTCGTTACAAACTCCATGAAGTTATTGCTTGTGGCTCCAAACCCTCATATTATTACAATGTCTTTTCTTGTTAGTTAGCATTAATCACATGTTTGGCTGAGTTACATAAAACCAAGAGCTCGTTATTATCATACCGTTAACGGATAAGAAACTTACATAGCCGTAGCCTTCGCCGATGAATATCTGTGGGGCCATGTACTGACTTGTGCCACATCGTGAATACTCACGATCACCCTGAAGATGGAAACAACACTTTTGAGTAACTGTCACAGGAATTTGGGGCACAAAACACCTAGAAAGTGTCTGGTAACAGAAAAGAAAACTGATCACGTCAAAAGCGAAGGCCACCAGCGGGAAAAGTCCTGAGCAACTTCTATTCACCTCCTGCCTTCAGAATCCATTTCTCTAACACCCGTCTTAATGCTACAATTCTTTTCCTTAATGATTTCTGATGCTGCCATTTTCCAAGAGTTTTTCCCACCGATACTCTGTAGCATTTCTTCTCTCCCTACCCGTCCCAGCCATTGTAAGTAAGATCATTAACTGTGACCATACTCAGTAGGCTGCATGTACCACAAATTTTATCTTCATATAATATTTAAACTAGGGAGGCCACGGTCCACCAAGGCCTGCAGTGCCAACTGAAGAAGAAGAAGATAACATTTAAACTAGGCCCTTGGATTATCCCTTTCAGTATCCAGTATTACACTTCATGTTTACCTCCACAAATTCACAGGCCTTGTGACATCTTTTAGTTACACAAACTGTGAAAATGTGTGGTCAAATTTCAGGCACCTGAAGCTTGTCAAGTCTCATACTTTGACACCCCTCAAATAAAGGGCACCGCTGATGGACAGCGGTCCACATAGCGCTTACATTTACAGCCTATGTGTCCTTGTATGCACACTGAACAAAAGATAAGGTGGATATAATATCTACCTCTTCAGAGCTGACAAACTCTTTGCATAAACCATAATCTGCGACAGCAATGTGGCCCTGAAGATCTACCAATATATTGTCTGGATTTAGGTCTTGGTGTATGACGCTTAGCTGAAAGAAACAGATTAACAAATAAATTTCTTGTACTGAGGGGATAAAATATGGTATATCTTGCGGTCTTACTGTGGTAACGAGATCCAGTTTCAGTATTTTGTTTTTCGGCTATATACCACCCAAACTAAGCTGTCATTGTAACTGATTAAATTAAATACCACTAACCCTAACCAATCTAAACTGTAGCTGTGGCTTCAGTCGTGATTAAGAGTGAGGATCTACCATGTTGCTTATGTGCAGAGGGCTGGCATGAAGGTGTCTGAGACGCTAGGAAATACTTCTGCTTTACCACCAGCCCCTGCACAATTTAATCTACTTTAAACATTAATATTGTACACTAGTCTGAGTAACGTTTGTACATTTTTATTTGAGATTTTTTTTACATAATAAGAGACAAGAATACAATGATTGGTTTGTAGTGAATAAATGACGTATTGAATGAAATCAAAAAATTCTGTAGCCACACAAACAATGAAGTACCTTAAGGCTTTAAACTGCCTTGTTATACATTTTATTGCACAGAACTGCAGGTGAACTGTTTGCCTACTTTCTGCAGATACTCCACAGCGTCGATGATTTCTGCCAGTACAATCTCGTTTCATCAACTGAAAACGCTCCTCCCGACTCCAACAGTTGGGACAGGTCTCCATCTGCATAATGCTCTGGAACAATAGAAACAAAACTTAGTTCTCTGTCGCATATTCAGTTAGAAAACAGTGTTCGTGCCAAATGACGCTGTCCACAAGACTGAAGTTTACTTTACAATAAAATTCTGTCAACACTTCATTAAAGTTGCTTCTGAAACACTAGAAATGATGCATAAGGTTCACAGAGAAGATTCCTCACATTGTATTACCATGTTTAAATGGCATCCAAGATCCAAAGATGGAAGAAAATGTTTAGGGAAAATGTGAAAGTCATTTAACTGCAAAAAAAAATAACCAGGTGGACAATTCATGTGTCAGAACTGCTGCATGAATGTTGACAAAAGTACAGGATCTTCAAACACATGAGAATTGACATGGAGTTTTAAGAGATTTTTGAACACGCATCGAGTTAATCAGCACAAGACGCCTTGGACACAAAGTGAGTGGATGACAATCTGCAGTGATCTCACAATGACATCTGGTAACATCTTTTGCTCCCTCGGTCCATCACTGTCATGGATGAGATTTTTCTTCTCTTTCACTAACAAAGCATCATCTGTCAACCTGCAGTCCACCTCATTCACTGTGACAAGAAAGTTACAATGAGAGGTCAAAATGGAAAGTGATATCAGAAGTTTGAGTATTGTGGTCCTGACTCTTGCAACAGCATTAATCATATTGACAGATATTTTGTCATATCGTAGTGCTATATTATTTTTCGTTTGTGTTATTGCTGTTTACAGATGTAACATTGTCTGATGTACTACAATTTTCTGTACTGTCCTCAACAATACCTTGTAAGTTTAATAATTCCCCAAAGTATTCTTTCCACATCTAAAGATACGCATCTTTCTATCCTGGCCAAATTTTCTTTGTCTAATGGGCATTTTAATTCAGATTTTTATTCATATTATTCCTCAATACTGCATAAATTTTTTTGTCTCTTTTGTAAGCTTCCATTAAATTCAACACAAATTTTGACGTAAATACGTCTATACAGAAGGGTCGTTTGGAATAAACAGCTTTACGAAGATGTGTAATATCCATATCAACAATGTGTAAATATGGACTGACAATGGTCAGCTTTTATATGAACTCCTGCGTGCATTGTTATGTTACCTAAGAAACTAATTGTTATGTCATATGTGCACAAGTCTGTGAAAAAACCAGGCAAATGTTTGCATAACTAGGTCAGCATCTTTCATTACAGTCTGTCTCTCTCCTGTGTACAGAAATAGTGCTCTCAGCAATTTCATAAAGCAATCAATTGAAAATAAATCAACCAGAGTACAAACACCCAAATATGAGTCAATATTAACATTTATAAATTGTATGAAAATATGAAAAGATTGAACACTGCACAGATGACCCAGACACAGCTTAAAAATGTCAAAATTAAATTTAAAAATACATAATACATTTTTCCAATTCAGCCATGGATATGATTCCTTGGGTGCTGGATGCCCTGACAATTTAGCGGACAGCCCTTGTAGAAGAAGAACATTTATAAGTAAACCTACAGGACAATTCAAATCACATGTAACTAAAGAACAGTATCTTTAAACCATAATTCAAATTGACTTTTCTTGCTTTCAAATGGTGACAAATTTAAAATTGCTCCTGTTTGAAGTTTGTGTGTGTCTATTTTTACTTACTGGCACAGACACTGAAAATAATCTGTTAAATGTAACTAAAAGTGTCACATGGATTGAGGGAAAAATTGTCTTTCTTATAAGAAATGGTGATGGTTTCAATACAGATTGTGAAAGTCCCACCCTAAGAACTTATCTTTAGGCAGCTGGTCTCACTGCACTAGTAACAGAAACTACTTCCTGTTCCAATGAAGCAATTCTCAATTCTCAGGTAACTGTTAAGTGTCTTATTACCAGGTTATCTAACCGTACGTACAGTACATTCAAGCAAGTTCTAGTGCTCCAACTACCCAAATCTGAAATTCAAGATTGTGAAAAAGTAATAATTTTCTACTTCAGTTGTCTAAAAAATGGCATCATATGATTTCTGTAAATTACCAGACTATGTCTTCTGTGTGCTGACGGCAGTGGCCATGCAGTCTGAGGCATGGGTCTTGGCCACATGGAAATTGGGATCAATAGTTCGAATCCTACCGGACGGAAGGGAGTTTTTCCTCTGAACTGCTGACCTACCACTCATCCAAGGAGTCCCATCAAATTATGGGAAACAATTCTGAAACCTAACATAAGGAGGTGGCAAAGGTTCCTCAAGAAGCAAGTACTATAAGTAATAAAACACTGGTTTAGAATTTACTCTGTATGGGAAATAAAGGCATACAGATCTGTTGCTTTAGCTCCCCTTCCCCCCCAACTGCACCCACGGTACATAGCATAACATCTTAACTTTAATACCTCTATTGGGTCATACTGATAAATACATACAACTGGAAATAATGGAATATAGTACAGAGCAATGAATAAAACTGCACCAACATAACTGCTATAAATTGGCTCTGATTAATCAGAGTTCAAATGGAGAGGGCATAACCACAAGTGATGACCCAAAAGTAGGGCACTTCATCCACATGTACCGAAGAAACGTATCAATCAGTAACAAACAAACTTCACCAAATTATCTTTATCAGATGAACAAGAAATTGCAGTAAGAATTCAAATTAAATTAGAACCTATAATAATCTAGCTTGAAGCAATTAATTGTAGCACATATGAACTAAAACAAGGAAGGTTAAAAGAATCAGGCCAATGACACACGAACAGTTAATTTCGGAGGGCATTTAAACACAAATGACTTACCTTATGAACATTTATGCCAGCAGCTCTCGTCTAAAAGAAATTATCAGATTACAGCAAACACCGGTCAATGATTGACAACAGAAGATGGATTACCAAACCACAGTTCGTATATAAATTGCGAAGTGCTCATCGTGCCATCTATGAATAATGTAGAAACAACATAATGATGCAGAGATACCGATAGATGGACGAGGTCTTTGACAGAATCATCAAAAGTAAAACTAAGGAAAGCTGTTCGTGTTTCGTTTATATAGTTTGAGGAATTGACTGTGTCGGAACCTTCAGGTGCTGCTCAGTTAACGAGACAAACACTGACGAAAGTTCAGAATGCAGAGAGGGCTTCGTGTCATGTCGACATCTGCTCGTCTGAGGAATGAAAACTAACACGTAGCTCTGGAGCTCCAGTTTGGAAGTTTGGAACCAGTTCTACATAAAAAGTTCTCTAATTATTAAAACGGAATTGTTGGCCGTTAATAAAGGAATGCACGAGAAAGATATAAGAGTGTATTAAGTAAAAGTTCCCTTTACTAAGCAAGTCGATGATTCATCGTGATGGGGCCAGAGTGAATTTTTAAATCAACACTTTATATTCTTTCGAATTTATTATTTTAATAAATAATTATAATTTAGTACCTTTATTCTTCCATATCCCGAAACACTTCGCCTTGCCTTGACGGCAACTTCTCCGACAGTGTAGTATAACGTAAAATCTATACAGCAGGCGCAATACTCCAAAGTTCTGCTTTCTTCCAGAAATGGACGATATTCAGTTTACATTGTTCATCGAAGAAATCATGAGAATACCATTTTAGAACAGTTGAGTGCTTAAATAGTTAAATAGTTTTTAGAAAATTAGTAATGTTTTTGTTAAATAGTTAAAATATTAATTTACACGTCAAGGATCAATTGGGCGGGATTTGTTGTCCCAAATAGACCTTTAGAAATAAGAAATGCTTCATTACAGTCAGAAAAAATTAAGGACATAAGCCACTCGGGATATATACGACTAGATGTAATGTTAAATTAATTGTGTATATAAAATATTTAAGAATATTAAATAAAAAACATATTCACAAACATTCCTGACTGCTGAGTTCAGTTGTAGGCTCGCATTAAACACCTTAATGAACCTTCAGATTACATACAGCTGGGAATTTGTGTATCGGTTGAGCGAGAAAGAATTTCACAGCTAGGACTATTTTCAATGGAGACAATAATAATACATCTAATGACTTGTTAAGGAGTGTGTAGAAAATACACGTGTGACGATTTTCACAATAGATCCCATAATCGCCTGCGAAGACAAGATGGGGTCGTCATGTCATTGGATCCAGCGATCCAGGAGGTTTCAGGCGCACTTCTGTCGATCTCCTCCGTGACGTCTGATACTCTACACGGTGCTTCACACCGAAAGCGATTGAATCACACGGAACTTCATTTCATCTAATCTTGTTCCCTTTAGAACTTCTTAAAATTAAATTAGAACTCATTCCGCGCGTCTTGACCAACGAATGGTTTTTTATTTTGTGATTCTGTTAGACGTTTCGTCGGCTCCTTGAAATAATAATCCAGCGCAGTGATTGGAATAACCGTTCTTCCACGAAGTGAGCGGATGTGTCATTTCGACTGTCACGAAAAACTCTAATTTTGTCTTGCGAGTTATTATCGATTCTTACATAACATATTAGTTCGAGCCGTAATGGCAATGCTGTGGTAGTCGTCTGATGTATTCCATAAACTTTTTAATCTCATTTCTTTAACTTCCCTTTAGTGTATTCATTGATGATTGTCGTTTGCAGTAGAGACAGCTCCAGCCGGTGTTCGAACCTAGTAACCAGACTGCACTTAGTCTGGGTGTACTAAGGAAACAATTAAAACCCTCACAATTGTCAGATGTAGGACGTTATTTTAATAGAGGACAGGCGAATTACCGCTGTGCTAACCATTTTGTAGTGTGGCGTCTAATGTGAATGGTAACGTTTTTAGTGTTTTTGAGGAACTGGCGTGTTTTAGTGTGTTGATGTTCGTTTTCTGATTTGTGACGCCACGTGGACTTGTAGGTAGATACCAACGTTGCAGAGGAATATGAGGCAGTGTTGTCCAAAAGGTTGGTATCCTTCTACAAGTCCACGTGGCGTCACAACTCAGGAGCCCAACATCGACATCTTCGCCGCTGTGATAACCCCGTATGTCTTGCTTTCTACGCCATTGTATTAATGAAGAAACGGAATTTTAACCAGGAATGAAATCTGAGCCTTCGCCGCCACACCAAACGTATTCCACAGTTCCTTAAGCCGTGCATTACGACTGCCAGTTTCGCCGTCTGGTGGTGGTTGGCGCACCTGCGTCACATCGAGGGTCCTCGGAAACGAGTCCTTCCGCCCTGAGGTCGTTTTCCCGGCTGAGATTACGTGGTTACCGGAATACTAACTTAAAACAGGCCATAAATGAGTCTTTCCAATCCTTTATTGTTTACATAAATATGTGTACATTACAGCGTTATGCAGAAGGAAAAATGTTGTTAATTACATCAAGAGTCTAATCCCTATTGAGCTGTTCCTTCCGTTGTAGCCCGACCACCGCGGAGCTTTGAATTGAAGAGATTCAGAATCATACAAATAAGATATTGTAGGTGCGTCATATTGTGATTTTATTTAAAAATAGTATTAAAATATATTAAAATTGTCCGTCAATCACAATAAAGTAAGTCGGGGATCGAACCCCGGCCGTCCAGCCCGTAGCTAGTCACTATACTGACTGAGCTATCCCGGCTCATATTGACGGCTCTATGAAAGCCGAAACATGTCGAGAATGTTCCATATGTAAATCGAGTACTCGATACGGAACAAAGGATAATATTTTAACCATCTAATTATCTTATATTACTTTATTGTGATTGACGGACAATTTTAATATATTTTAATACTATTTTTAAATCATACAAATGTTATTCGCCTTCCTTCCTGACACGTAACGTCTCTGTAATCCGTCCCCTTGGATCCTTTGCTGTGGTAGAGTTAATAATGCGAATCAAAGCGTGTCTTCGCAAACAGTTGTCTCATGGGTTGCTTGTCAGCCTAACGTCTTTACGTATTCCATAAGCTTCTGCGTTCTGATCTTTGGTTCGTCATTTTAAGCAGAGGCTCTGTTATGTGCATCGACATTGGCTATCTCTCTCTCTCGAAAAACAACATTTTTTTTGCGATTATTCATGTATTGTCTTGTCATATTTAACTCCTAATGAAATCATGGTTAGCTAGTAGACCTTAATTTGGTGTATATTTAAATATATAATATTTGAACTACTAACCCAGAAATTGTGAAAACGGCTTTCTGGTTGTCGGATTCAAATATGTTTCAGGAGCATTATTATAGTAAAGCTTCCAAAATAATCTCCTGCTTCATGGGGTTTAAGGCTGGGCACACCTATACTTCGTACATACAGTTTATTCCATTACACTTCTTACATATTTATTCGCCTCTATTAGGCTGTATAGCATGAATGACATCCTTCGTGATTTCTAGAGTGTTCATATACATGTTGGTAATTCCAGACAACGAAGAAGGAAACAGAAGTAATGGAGATAATTCACATAATTCTTTCACCGCGCGGTGGTAGAATGTGCGTCACACCTGTACCGTTAATTTTTAAGTGTTAAGTCACGTCCAAGTACAAATCATCTAATTTTATATTTACGTTAATTTAATTCCGCCATTAAAATATAAAAATGGTTGACCTCAACACGAACTGAAGAAGAGGTGAATAAGATATGATACATCACCTTTCCAGGAAACTTCCTCTAAATTACTGCTGTCACAAACTGCAATTTTCATAAACACAAATCCAAATGATTAACTGTCCTCTGGAAGAAAGCTTCTAGGTCGATGACTTGTTCACCGAGGAAAATTTTTTCGAACGATAAAATTGTATTCTGTCCCTCAGAAGAGCCTGACTTGCTCGTAGAGCTATTCCAAAAGAGCGACGGCTATGATAAGGTGCTTTTAGCATAAGGCCTTTAGGAACAATGTCATGAGATTTGCACTTCATAAGAAAAGTAAGATGATTAAGAGTCTTAGCCAGTTGTATTTTTACGTGTTTAAACTTCCTGAATTTAAAAAGTACATCAGGTCCATACCTGTTACGTATATCAAATCTAAAAGGTCTTGACGATGGTGATGAGTCATTACGTGAATATATACCAACATCGTAATGCCAAATATTCAAATCATTACATCAAAATGGAGTACCACAACTGAGAACAAAATGTCTTGGAAATAAATAATAGTGTTACAAAGGTTCAGTGTAGAATTCGTCTCTTTGCCCCTTCAGCAATTATAACACCAGGACAGTTGTAAGATGGGGTTGTTAATATCATTGATATTTTTGTGAATGGGGGACACTATGCCTCTATTAGGCCCGGAAAAATCAAACAAGTCAGTGCACTTAAAAAGAAAGTGAACACATAGAGAGTAATGTTAAAGAACCACGTGTTCTCAACGTCACCACTTGGAGATGGGTTGTCAGTTTTACTCTCTGGCTTTCTCCTCTGAGGAAAAAACTCATTACACCATGAATGGAAAGGTAGATAAGATGACGACGAAAAATTAATGCCCTGGCTGGCAAGCCCATAGCTAGTCACTTTGCAGACTGAGTTATTTTGAGTCTGAAAACATGTTGATAAACAAGTTACTGAATTTAGGAATAACATATGGCAGCGAATTTCAAAATTTATAAGTTCAAAGTCCAATAAGAGAAAATATTTACATTCCTCAATTCGAAGTGTCCCTGTGTGTGCACACGCGCAAGTTAACACTTTTGTTCTTTTTGCAACAAAAGGTTCAATCACGTAATGATTTTTTTAAATGTTAACGATTATATTATGAATAGGTTGAGTCCTACTAATGTTGGTAGCGTGGCGCGGAATGGAGCAGGGCAAGTTCCCAAGGACGCTGTGGTCAGCTGATATGGCATTTCTTCCAGTGAAGCTACAGCTAGTTCCCTAAGACTATACACCATTTATTTCTAACCCTAAGTACTACAGAAATTTTACATTTCTGTTACACATTACCTTCCTAATTGAGGT